TTTTGCAATTTTCAGGAATTTTTGCAATTTTCAGGAATTTTTTGCAATTTTTGCAATTTCCAGAAATTTTTGCGATTTTTGCAATTTTCAGGAATTTTTTGCAATTTTTGCTAATTTCTGCAATTTTCAGGCATTTTTGCGATTTTTGCAATTTTCAGTAATTTTTGCAACTTTTGCAATTTTTGCAATTTTCAGGAATTTTTGCAATTTTTGCAATTTTCGGTTATTTTTGCGATTTTTGCAATTTTCAGGAATTTTTGCGATTTTTGCAATTTTCAGAAATTTTTTGCGATTTTTGCAATTTTCAGGAATTTTTGCGATTTTTGCAATTTTCAGGAATTTTTGCGATTTTTGAAATTTTCAGGAATTTTTGCGATTTTTGCAATTTTCAGGCATTTTTGCGATTTTTGCAATTTTCAGGAATTTTTGCGATTTTTGCAATTTTTAGGAATTTTTGCGATTTTTGCAATTTTCAGGAATTTTTGCGATTTTTGCAATTTTCAGGAATTTTTGCAATTTTCAGGAATTTTTGCGATTTTTGCAATTTTCAGGCATTTTTGAGATTTTTGCAATTTTCAGGAATTTTTGCGATTTTTTGGGAATTTTCAGGGAATTTTTGCAGTTTTTGCAATTTTCAGGAATTTTTGCAATTTTTGCGATTTTTGCAAATTTCAGGAATTTTTGTGATTTTTGCAATTTTCAGGAATTTTTGCGATTTTTGCAATTTTCAGGAATTTTTGCGATTTTTGAAATTTTCAGGAATTTTTGAGATTTTTGAAATTTTCAGGAATTTTTGCGATTTTTGCAATTTTTGATATTTTTGCAATATTCAGGAATTTTTGCAATTTTCAGGAATTTTGGCAATTTTTTGCAATTTCCAGAAATTTTTGCGATTTTTGCAATTTTCAGGAATTTTTGCAATTTTTGCTATTTCAGCAATTTTCAGGCATTTTTGCAATTTTTGCAATTTTCAGGAATTTTTGCAATTTTTGCAATTTTTGCAATTTCCAGAAATTTTCGCGATTTTTGCAATTTTCAGGAATTTTTGCTATTTCTGCAATTTTCAGGCATTTTTGCGATTTTTGCAATTTTCAGGAATTTTTGCAATTTTCAAAATTTTTGCAATTTTTACTATTTCTGCAATTTTCAGGCGTTTTTGCGATTTTTTCAATTTTCAGGAATTTTGCAATTTTCAGGAATTTGCAATTTCAGGAATTTTTGCAATTTTCAGGCATTTTTGCAATTTTCAGGAATTTTTGCAATTTTTTGCTATTTCAGCAATTTTCAGGCATTTTTGCGATTTTTGCAATTTTCAGGAATTTTTGCGATTTTTGCAATTTTTACAATTTTCATGAATTTTTGCGATTTTTGCAATTTTCAGGAATTTTTGCAATTTTCAGAAATTTTTGCTATTTCTGCAATTTCTGCAATTTTCAGACATTTTTGCAATTTTCAGGAATATTTGGAATTTCTGCAATTTTCAGGCATTTTTCGATTTTTGCAATTTTCAGGAATTTTTGCAATTTTTGCGATTTTTGCAATCTTCAGGAATTTTGCGGTTTTGCAATTTTCAGGAATTTTTGCGATTTTTGCAATTTTCAGGAATTTTTGCGATTTTTGAAATTTTCAGGAATTCTTGCGATTTTTGCAATTTTCAGGAGTTTTTGCGATTTTTGCAATTTTCAGGAATTTTTACGATTTTCGCAATTTTCAGGAAATTTTGCGATTTTTGCAATTTTCAGGAATTTTTGCAATTTTCAGGAATTTTTGCGATTTTTGCAATTTTCAGGAATTTTTGCGATTTTGCAATTTTCAGGAATTTTTGCAATTTTCAGGAATTTTTGCGATTTTTGCAATTTTCAGGAATTTTTGCGATTTTTGCAATTTTCAGGAATTTTTGCGAATTTTGAAATTTTCAGGAATTTTTGCAATTTCAGGAATTTTTGCAATTTTTGCAATTTTCAGGAATTTTTGCGATTTTTTGCGAATTTTCAGGAATTTTTGCTGTTTTTGCAATTTTCAGGAATTTTTGCAATTTTGCGATTTTTGCAATTTTCAGGAATTTTTGCGATTTTTTGCAATTTTCAGGAATTTTTGCGATTTTTGCAATTTTCAGGAATTTTTGCGATTTTTGAAATTTTCAGGAATTTTTGCGATTTTTGAAATTTTCAGGAATTTTGCGATTTTTGTAATTTTCAGGAATTTTTGCGATTTTTGCATTTTTTGATATTTTTGCAATATTCAGGAATTTTTGCAATTTTCAGGAATTTTTGCAATTTTTGCAATTTCCAGAAATTTTTGCGATTTTTGCAATTTTCAGGAATTTTTGCAATTTTTGCTATTTCTGCAATTTTCAGGCATTTTTGCGATTTTTGCAATTTTCAGGAATTTTTGCAATTTCCAGAAATTTTTGCGATTTTTGCAATTTTCAGGAATTTTTGCTATTTCTGCAATTTTCAGGCATTTTTGCGATTTTTGCAATTTTCAGGATTTTTTGCAATTTTCAGGAATGTGCAATTTTCAGGAATTTTTGCAATTTTTGCGATTTTTGCAATTTTCAGGAATTTTGCGATTTTTGCAATTTTCAGGAATTTTTGCAATTTTTGCAATTTTCGGTTATTTTTGCGATTTTTGCAATTTTCAGGAATTTTTGCGATTTTTGCAATTTTCAGGAATTTTTGCGATCTTTGAAATTTTCAGGAATTCTTGCGATTTTTGCAATTTTCAGGAATTTTTGCGATTTTTGCAATTTTCAGGAATTTTTGCGATTTTTGCAATTTTCAGGAATTTTTGCAATTTTTACAATTTTCAGGAATTTTTGCGATTTTTGCAATTTTCAGGAATTTTTGCGATTTTTGCAATTTTCAGGAATTTTTGCGAAATTTGAAATTTTCAGGAATTTTTGCGATTTTTGCAATTTTCAGGCATTTTTGAGATTTTTGCAATTTTCAGGAATTTTTGCGATTTTTTGGGAATTTTCAGGAATTTTTGCAGTTTTTGCAATTTTCAGGAATTTTTGCAATTTTTGCGATTTTTGCAAATTTCAGGAATTTTTGCGATTTTTGCAATTTTCAGGAATTTTTGAGATTTTTGTAATTTTCAGGAATTTTTGCGATTTTTGCAATTTTTGATATTTTTGCAATATTCAGGAATTTTTGCAATTTTCAGGAATTTTTGCAATTTTTGCAATTTCCAGAAATTTTTGCGATTTTTGCAATTTTCAGGAATTTTTGCAATTTTTGCTATTTCTGCAATTTTCAGGCATTTTTGCAATTTTTGCAATTTTCAGGAATTTTTGCAATTTTTGCAATTTTTGCAATTTCCAGAAATTTTTGCGATTTTTGCAATTTTCAGGAATTTTTGCTATTTCTGCAATTTTCAGGCATTTTTGCGATTTTTGCAATTTTCAGGAATTTTTGCAATTTTCAGAAATTTTTGCAATTTTTACTATTTCTGCAATTTTCAGGCGTTTTTGCGATTTTTTCAATTTTCAGGAATTTTTGCAATTTTCAGGAATTTGCAATTTTCAGGAATTTTTGCAATTTTCAGGAATTTGCAATTTTCAGGAATTTTTGCAATTTTTGCTATTCCAGCAATTTTCAGGTATTTTTGCGATTTTTGCAATTTTCAGGAATTTTTGCGATTTTTGCAATTTTTACAATTTTCATGAATTTTTGCGATTTTTGCAATTTTCAGGAATTTTTGCAATTTTCAGAAATTTTTGCTATTTCTGCAATTTCTGCAATTTTCAGACATTTTTGCAATTTTCAGGAATATTTGGAATTTCTGCAATTTTCAGGCATTTTTTCGATTTTTGCAATTTTCTGGCATTTTTGCGAATTTCGCAATTTTCAGGAATTTTTGCGATTTTTGCAATTTTTACAATTTTTATGAATTTTTGCAATTTTCATGAATTTTTTCGATTTTTGCAATTTTCAGGAATTTTTGCAATTTTCAGGAATTTGCAATATTCAGGAATTTTTGTAATTTTTGCAATTTTTGCTATTTCAGCAATTTTCAGGTATTTTTGCGATTTTTGCAATTTTTACAATTTTCATGAATTTTTGCGATTTTGGCAATTTTCAGGAATTTTTGCAAATTTTGCTATTTCTGCAATTTTCAGGAATTTTTGCAATTTTTAGGAATTTTTGCGATTTTTGCAATTTTTGCAATTTTCATGAATTTTTGAAATTTTTACAATTTTCATGAATCTGCGATTTTCACAATTTTCATGAATTTTTGCGATTTTTGCTAATTCAGCAATTTTCAAGTATTTTTGCGATTTTTGCAATTTTTACAATTTTCATGAATTTTTGCGATTTTTGCAATTTTCAGGAATTTTTGCAATTTTCAGGAATTTTTGCATTCTTCAAGAATTTTTGCAATTCTTAGAAATTTTTGCTATTTCTGCAATTTTCAGGCATTTTTGCGATTTTAGCAATTTTCAGGAATTTTTGCAATTTTCAGGAATTTTTGCAATTTTCAGGAATTTGCAAATTTTCAGGAATTTTTGCAATTTTTGCTAATTCAGCAATTTTCAGGTATTTTTGCTATTTTTGCAATTTTCAGGAATTTTTGCGATTTTTGCAATTTTTACAATTTTCATGAATTTTTGCGATTTTTGCAATTTTCATGAATTTTGCGATTTTTGCAATTTTCAGGAATTTTTGCAATTTTTGCAATTTTCAGGAATTTTTGCAATTTTCAGACATTTTTGCAATTTTTGCTATTTCTGCAATTTTCAGGCATTTTTGCAATTTTCAGGAATATTTGCAATTTTTGCTGTTTCTGCAATTCTTAGGCTTTTTTGCGATTTTTGCAATTTTCAGGAATTTTTGCAATTTTTGCTATTCCAGCAATTTTCAGGTATTTTTGCGATTTTTGCAATTTTCAGGAATTTCTGCGATTTTTGCAATTTTTACAATTTTCATGAATTTTAAGCCACAAGTGACTACACCAAAGTTTCCTTTCATCATTATGTCAACCATTTGTATGCTTACCCAAGGCTACCAGAAAGGTCTGAGAACTTGTTTTCTTCTGTTTAGGCGTGTCGACATCGACAGCCATCACAGATGACTCTTCTACGGTGATAGGTAAGGGGGCATTGAGTTTTTTAGCGGTCACGTAGAACGCTATGGCCGCCGCCAAAAAAACAACTTCGGGTGACAGCCACAGGAAAGCGATGGCAGCCGCCAAACCGTCAAGTCTGACGAATCCGGCATGACGAAGGATTTTTTCCAGGAAAGGATCATCCTGAAAATATTTATTTTCGAAAAATGAAAAACAAACTTACTTTTTCTATAAAGTAGCTGCATACTCAATTCAATTATCGCTTCCATTTTCAGAAAAAGTATTTAATTCAACATCAAAAATTAAACTTTTGTTCAGAATTAAATAACATTCATAAACCAGCGAGAAATTTGAGTTATTTTAATCTTTCTGAACTTTTTTTTTATCTAAGAATCACTCAGAAGATAGATTTATTCAACATTTCATCATTCAATTCAATTAAGAAATTTGAAACACTACTTGGTATCTTGAATTCATGAATTCAATGATATATCACAAGTTGTTATTTCAGTCACTTAGAATCACAAAAAATTATAGATGAATTTCACTGGATTTATAAATTTGACTGTTTTTTTTATGCAGAAAGATCAATTGCTAAAATGATTGTACTAATAATGAATTTTGAAGATGGGTGATTTTGTATTTTTCTTTTGCACAGGCGTATAGACAATAATTTGAATCACCAATGTCATTTAACGTTTCGAGACATTTAATCTGAGGAATTCCAAAACAACACATTAGTAATCAGGCAAATATCCAACCACTTTCGAACTAACCTTTAAAAGATGTGCGTAGGGTGGCTTCAAGAGTAAGAATACTTGGAATGCCAACTGGGATATAGGCGTCAGTACTGATATGACTAGAAATATTTTGAAAAATATGCCTGTGTGGCCATTCAAAGTCTTTTCCGTCGGCACCGGAACGAACGGCAAGTAACAGAGGACTAGTAGATAGATAGCAGATAGACCAGATGGCCTAAATATTATACCTGAAAAAAATTTAGATTTTTTTATGTGTACAGGGTATACACCCTGTATATTATTTCATATATACATTGAGCATGAAGTGGGCTTTCCAAAAATATATAATTGTATACAATTATTTTCCATTTAAAAAAACATATGTTTGCTCCATAACTAAAAAACAAAAGGTGCTAGCAAAAAATAACTACGCCACTGGATTCTACGAGAAAAACTCTATAAAAACAAGTTTTAACTTCTTCGATAAGTTCAAAGATAACTGAGACACGGAGGGTGCCTGAAAAGTGATATTTTTCAATTCCACCCTGTATCTCGACAACCGGAAGAGCTTAATTTCATAAAAAAGTAGCACACTGTCGCGAAAACCGCAATGCTCTATCTTTACTGATAAGGGAGATACCCCGCAAAAGTGCCCAAATTGGGATACCCTGTACAGGGTGATTGGATATATTTTACTCAATAGCTATCTCAGTTAATATTGCTCCTACATAAACGTTCAAATGGGCAAAAGTGAAGTATTTCCTATGAGCATTCAGAATCTATTACTACAAAATACAAAAAAGCATCATAAACAAAGACATTTTACACAATAGATGGTATTTTTTAAATGTAATGTAACTGGAGCTACACAATATTTTATGACGGACGAACATGAGTCTAGGTCGGTTTCACGCGGCCTATATGACATTTTTTGTGTGATTCCGCGTTGGCTTCATGTGGCACTTGACCTTTTAAACATAACTTTTCTGGTGTAAAACTTTTCAATTCGAATTCGAATGTGAACTTGGACATCATTCAATTTCAGATTGTATTTTGGGACATACGTTGATAGGTCAACTCAAAATGAGGTTAGGAATCCGCATACGAAGTTTGTCGGTCTTCTTCTGACTCACCCTGTAATCCCTGTATAATACACTACCATTTCACTCCCTATTCGTTTCCTACTTTTTTGTGTAACTAAGAGACGGCCTAATCAGATTTTGCATAACTGTTTCCGTTCATGGGATACAAGGCAATTTTGAAAATTCATACTTTTTGGAACCCTTCTATATCTATTAGGAATAATATTTCCTTAAAAAATACGTCTAACAGGGAATTTTTAGCAGAATCCAGTGGCGCGCTCAACATTTTTTTTTTAGCATGATTCTGGAGTGACGACGCAAACTTATATATTTTTCAATGGGACAACCCTGTATTTTATTATTTCGTTGAATTCGTTATTTTTTCCTTTAACATGACGTATACTACTTTATACATAGGGCTTAGGGCATAGGGCTAGGAAAATGAAAATCAAAGCATCGAATCTTGAGATTGAGAATTTTAAGGGATTTCCATTCTCGCTCATGAAGTGCGTTCAGTTTTATCCATGACATCATTTTCGGCAGAAATCGATTCGACGCTACAATTTAAAAAAAGGGATGTGATATAATATGAAACATGGATATTCTTAGTAAAAAAACAGTCCAGATTATACCGGAAAACTCGGTCATTAGGGCAGAAATATTCTTACTTTTTTGTGTAACTAAACATGGCCTAATCAGATTTTGCATAACTGTTTCCGTTCATCAAAATTCATACTCTTTGGATCCCTTCTATATCTACGAAGTTATTAGAAATACTGTTGCTCTAAGAACTACGTATAACAGGGAATTTCGAGTACAATCCAATGGCGCACTCAACATTTTTTTCGAGGCATGATTTTGGAGATACGACGCAAACTTATATATTCTTTGATGGATTGAATTCATTGAATTCGTTTCTTTTTTCATTAAAATGACGTTTACTAATTTATACATAGGGCATAGAGCTAGGAATACGAAAATCAAAGCATCGAATCTGGAGATTGAGAATTTTAAGGGATTTCCATTCTCGCTCATGAAGTGCGTTCAGTTTTAGCCATGACTGACATGATTTTCGGCAGAAATCCATCCGGCGCAAAAAAAGGGATGTGATATACGAAACATGGAAATTCGTGGTGAAATGCCACAGTCCAGATTATACTGGAAAACTCGGTTAGACAAGAAAATTGGGGCAGAAATAGGTCGAGTAAGCTTTGGTGAAATTCGGTGAAATCATTTACACTTAATTAAAAAACATACATTTCGAGTTAATGTAATTAATTTTCTAGCAATTTGCACAGGAAATGATTAAACGTTTTTGTACTGACATAATTATAATAGGCCGCATTAAAAAAAACTGAGTTATATCAATGCTCTTATACATCATTAAATTGTTGCAACGAAAAATGAAATTCACAATATTCTTTCATCTCTTGGAGCTCACGAAAGGAAATGCATATAATGTTCGTGGAGCATAGGGAGAGGAAGTAGGTTTTTGAATTTTTTAAAAACTTTTGGAGGTTATAAGCTCTTCTTCTTGGGAATACTTTCATTGGCAAAGAATTCCAAAGCTTCGTCGTTCTATAGACGAACGAGTTTTGGTAGTTTCAAGGTTAACCTCGAAAGGATGTGCTGACTGGGCCTGTCGAGTTCGTCTGACTGGGCCTGTCGAGTTCGCCTGACTGGGCCTGTCGAGTTCGTCTGACTGGTATTGCTAGTAATGAAATTATAGCAAAGATTTCTGAGGAACATTTTCCGTGAAATTATCTATAGAACAGTGAAAGGTCGCCGACTTTTCTACGGTGATCTAATGAGGTCGAAGAGTTAGTGAGTGTGGCATCACCCATGAGACAAATGGCTCTTTTCTGGATGGAATCAAAGAGCATCAACGTATGTTTGGGTGCTGAACCCCTTACATGAAAACAGTATTCTTTAACCGGCCGTATCTGTGCTTTGTAGAAGCTGTTGAGGTGTGAAGTATAGATTTTTGCATGGAACAAGAATTCGAGTTTTTATGAATTAAGATTTTTGAAAAACTCAACAACGATGGATTTCTAATTGTATGCATGTATCAACGCAACTTTTTTCCCAATTAAAACTCCTCTACTATCTCATATCTCCGATAGCTATTTCCATATTCGCCTCTATAATATTATCTCTATCACAAATATACAGGGTGTTTCATACGATAATTTCTATCAGAATGTGACGACACATTGAATCAAAACGCTCATGCATTTTTATTTCGAAATATGGCGTACCTATCAGAGTTCTTTTGAAACCGCCTGGTATATCATAAATATCGAAATTTTGTACCTTGTTGTATTAATCACCTTTGTTCTGTTTATGTCATCATAATAAATGCATCATACAATCAATTCATGCCAATCTATTATATTTGTTTACCAGTTTCCCAATTTATTTGTTGAGTTGGTTTACATTCAGTTGTTTTATAGTTTCCTCTGTCTAGTCAAACATCGTCAGACTGCTGTATATATTATTATAATTTTTGCATGAAGTGAGTGATCTTTAGTACCACATGCTGTCTAAATATAAACTATTATGTAATCAGATGACCTTTCCCTAAGAGTCTAGTTGAAGTCCAATGATCTTGAGAAACCAGGTAGGCAGTAAAATCGCCAGTTAACGTTAAGTAATTTATTTTTTGATATTTGGTAAACAAGTTAACAAGTCAATGTTTTAAATTGAAAAGGAATTATCAATAGTTTAAGCCTTACTGATACATTAAAATATAATGGTTTCAATCAATTCCAATAAAATATTGTGTATTTCCCTCAGCTTCTAAAGTGAATAGAGTAAGAACATGGAAAAAACAGTGGAGCCTAATAATGAAATAATATCAAACCAACAATGGATATGGCTTCATCTAGAAATAACCAAGGACAATCAATGAGAAGACCAGTCTCATTCATAACAATCTCCCCTACCAATACCTAGTACCAATCCTAGCATAGTATATTCTGAGCCTTATGCCAACAACCTTTTAACAGGCAAATAAAAGGGCGTGGGCAAATTTATCGAACAACAGGGTGGGAAATCTTCTTTCACCCCAACCCAAATATTCCGATATATCTCATGTATTATCTTTATCAGTTAGTTAACATAGCATTTGTGCACTAAAACACTAAGGTCAGGGAAATTATAAGTGTATGCATGACTACATCACTTCTATTATAATGTTCCAAGTAATAATTATTGCCAAGTTCCTTGAGAATGAAATACAAATGCAAATTGTTGAGGCATGACTGTTGATGGAATTTGATAAAGTGATTTCAGATGAGAAACAACAAATCAAGAAACTTAGGTGCCATATTATAAAATAATCCAAAAATTATTAATCTCAATTTTCTTGTACAAGCATTTTTATTCCATAGTGTTAAAATTCCATATTTTATATTCATCATTCATATAATTTAATATTTTCATCTAGATTTCAATGTCAGTCATGATTTTTAAGAACTCAATGATGGATGTAACATTTGAATAACCCTGTATCTGGAATATACAAAATCATAAATATTGATCAGTAAATTCAAAAACAACGATTTTCAATACTCTAAGACTATCTGGTAAAAAATCTGGAAAATGTTAATAAAGGATGTAATAATAGTTAATTAAAGTGATGACATCAAGTACTCTTATCAACTCTACAACTGTCCTAACAAGAACAACAATCTAGATATATATATATAGAATTCTCATTACCATGAAGTAATGTGTGGAATATTGAAGTCAAACAAAATAAAAAACTATTCAGTTTATATCTCAAAACAATGCTACCTACTTTTTGAGGTAGGTTACAGAAAATGTTGAGCTGAATATTCATACATTTGTTCCTATACTTACAAACAGATATAACAGCTGGTAGAAGAAGCCTGAAGAGGATGGTGCTCAATATATAATTCCCCATTTTTATCTTGGGCTAGAGTCTGCAAAAAACTGAAGTACATTTTATTTGAATAAATAGTATTGTCACAATAAAATTAAACAAATTCCAAATGAAAATACCAGGACCAAGTAAATAAGTTTGTGTATTCATTAATATTTGTAATTCATACTGATAAGATAATAAATTGCTGAAAACTCATGAAAATCAAAATATATCCTATCAGGGTGAATATGTTATATTCAGTTTTTAGACCTCTGGCATAATTTTCATGTCTGCTATCCTCACTGTTATCCATGTAATTCATTATACTAATTAATAGTAGTGAAACATGATTGCTATCCCACAAAACATGCAATATAAAATGTGATAATCCAGCTTTGCATTTTTCAGTTGGTGTGCATGTAGAAATATTGTAGACAACAAAAATTATGCATCCTAGGGGATACAAATGTTTTATTATCTTCATTCTGGTTTTTTAAATCATTGTGTGAGACTTTTCATGAAGATTACAACTAAATGCTTAAAATTGATTCACCACTGAATCATAAATATGTATCTGCGTATACATTATTATACAGAATAACAAATCAAATACTTCAATGTTGAAATCTAGTTTGAATGATTGAATGAAGGATATAACATTTTCAAACCAAAGTAAAAAAATGACTTATATCACCCAGGACAGAATATAGGAACAGGATTGATACTTCTGGTTGAATGCATACCTATCTATAGAATATCTAGGTAATTATTTATTCTGTTAATTAGATCTTAATTAATTATCTACCTTTTTGTTTATCAATTTTGTGGTATGGCATTTTCAATAATAGATAAGCAAAACATCAACATAATGAACCGGTTGGTTTTGGGCTCAGTTTTGAGGTTTCAGATTAATTGTTATATCTGAACCATAGCCTTGAGTTGAATACTCAAAGACCATAGGTATAGGGTAGTCACAAAATATATGATAATAATATACCATTTGGAATTCTCTAGTGTTCTCAACAAAGTTTCAATAATAAAAGACTATAAAATATAAAATATGAAGATAAGGACATAACTAAACCTATGATAACATAATTTTCATTTGTAATTCTGCCTCCTAATAATTTTTGAAAATAAAAATAAACAGACATGTCACTGTTTTACAAATATTATATACTTACCTTATTATTTACACAAAATAATCGCATGTACCATTTTATATGACTAGGAAATTGTGCGTTTTTGATACCGAAATTCTTATACTATTTCATTATTCGATGATAGATTCGATATTCGCGTTTGCTCCGGGTTCGAGCGAAAAACACTTCCAACCAGAGATACGCACAGTTCCAACAACAGATACACACACACCCAACAACAATGAACAATGTAATCAAATATTTGAAATCTACATTCTACAACCAAATCTGAATGAAAGACATTTTTTGTTGACAACTTGTCAACATGTCAACTCAACTTGACAAGATTAGATGACAAGAGACAAGGTTTTGAAATTGGATTGATATTTTGTTGACATCTTCTTGACATGTGTTATTCTTCTTCTTATTCTTAAACCGACAGTTTTTCTGCTTCTTTTTTCCAATTTACTTCACGATAATATTTTACTTGGTTCATCACATGTTCATCATTAGAAATTGACATGAAATAAAAAAATAAATATAAATAAACAAACACCTGTGCTTTGTGCTAAATGCTAAATACCGCGACTACCGCGAGAGCTACCGTTTCCTAATGTCGCAAATTACTGATAAATCTGCAATGATGGTTCTTAATGAAGTAGCTATTCAAAAAGGATTAGGGCCCCTTTTCTATGAACTTATATTCAGCCGCAGTGGTACTCATGACAACAGCTTCGATTATGAAGTTACTGTGGGCGATATAAAGGCTAGGGGAAAAGGGACATCTAAACAGATTAGTAAACAGGAAGCTGCTCGAAATGCCCTTATTATTTTGAAAGAAAGGGGGATTTACACTCCTACAGAAATGCTTGTGCAAGAGTCCAGCAAAGGACTCCAAGCAGTGACATTGTCTATATCTGATAGTATTGCTGAGACAGCTCCTAATTCTATTGGTAAAAATTAGAATTTCATTTTTTGTTTCCTATTAAATTCATGATAGTATTTTCTAGGGCCTTTGAAAGAACTGTGTACAGAAAACAGAATAAATCAACCTTCATTCTCTTTAATATCAGATGTTGGACCACCCCATCAAAAAGTATTCACATTTGAATGCAACATTGATTCCATCAAAACTGTGGCTTCTGGAAGAACAAAAAAAATTGCAAAACAGCTAGCAGCACAAGAAATGATGGAAAAGTAACTGAATGAAAAATGTTTTATGTATCAGTATCATGGTGACTCATTTTTCCTCCTAGGATAAAAGATGTCTTACCAGACTTGGCTCAAAGATGCACAAGACCAATAAATGATTATAGTGTAGATGAAGCAGCAGTTCAAAAATATAATGAATTAGTTGGGCAGAGTGTTGTTGATAAAACAATCAAAATAATGGATTATCCAAATGCAGTCAAGAAGTTGATGGAAAAACATAACAAGACCATGGATGACTTCAAAGAGGTAAAGAAGAGCTTTTTTTTCTAAGTCATCTATACCATATAGGTATTTGAGCAACAATTTTTTTATCATACTTCTTATTACTATTATTATTAGAAATACTTCCAGGATCTGCAGGAAAGAACTGAAGAATCTCTCACAAGAATTCTAGAAAAGCTAGAACTGAAATACATCAAGCATAAGTTACAAGATGACCCAGTAGCTATATCCATTACCCTCACAACCATTACTCCATTTACCACTATAGCAGTTGCTGATTATGAAGAAACAGCATCAAATGAAGCTTTGAGTCAAGTTTTTGAAATTTTAGATCTTTATATGCAAATTTGACTTGTTTATCTTTATTTTTTCATCTTCACCACCCTGTATCTCGGAAATGGAGCAATTTTGGACTGAGATAAGTTGCTTTAAATCAGCTTATTTTGACCTCAGAAATATGTGCTAAGATTTTGCACCCACCCTGTATATAATCCCTTTGATGTAAATGTAAATTCCAGAAGATGATCCAGCTCTTTTGCTATTTCAGTTTGTGAAAATAAACCTAAAATAAAAGTCCAATTGTAAAATTATTGTTTATTTAACTGACTAGATGAATGAATTCTGTTCATAAACTATGCAGTTTGTACCAACAAAATTATTGAATATATCACAAGAACACAAAATAAATCACATTAAATACAACTGAAAAAGAGTAAAAAAAAATTCGATTGTATTCCATTAATTAAGTACCCAGTCTTTGATGTAGATCCAACTTAAAATTTACTTTCCTAGCCGATTTCCTCTAATTTGTCCTATAAATCCAACTATAAAAATTCTAATTTGGTACTTTATTATTCAAGTATTCAAAATTGAGGCGTAAATAAAAATATAAAAAAATCTTTGGCACTTATTAAGAATAAAATGGATACCTATAATATGGAGGCTACTTGATTGATTATTGATACTACCACATTAGAATTATGACACTTTTCAATTAATTGTCGATAAACTGTAAGTACAGGGTGAAGAACACTTTCATGAAGAATTGAACAGTACTCCAACCTGTACTGATGCCTATAAAACTTAATTCTACTTTATCTATAAAAAAATATTTCTAGTTTATGAACAGCACCTAACAAAAAAAGTATAACCTGCAGTTACATACATGAAATTTGAAATTGACATTCATGAAATTAACTAACAGGTTATCCCAAATTTGTTGTCAGAAAAGGGTATCTTCCTTGGGAAGAACTGCCATATTATATAACTCTTATTTTGAGACAATTCCAGAGGCATTCATGAGTTCTCTCAATTCTCAATGGTTTTGTCGTCGGAGCGGACTAAAACAAATTTGAAAGTACCATTGAAGTTTCTCAAAATAAGGAGACCGTTCTCCAGCGCGAATATACACTAGCAAAAACCAATTTGGGTCGCCCTTTTTCATGATATTACTGTTCATTGTGTTTCAGAAGTTTTTCGTTCATAGTGAACTGAGATTAAATATAAGAAGGAACATTTTCAGATCGTTTCATTTTCGAACTCTGGCCTTTAACTGGTCAGATAGATATACATCTTAATATAACCAACCTTGAGTTGAGATATTCTTGTTTCCTCTGCAACAACAAGAAGTTTGTTCACTATTTGACTATCTTTTGTTGATCTACTTGTCAACGATAGTATAAAGACTTCTTTGTTCATTACAGAGGGAACGAGGGAACCGATGAACGATAAAAAACAATCACTTCAAAATTATTATTTTGAGACAAAATTTGTGCACCTTAGGAACGTGTATGTGAGCACTCGAGATTTCCAAAAGAATCAAATTATACAGGGTGTCCCTAGACCAGTGGGACAGTTAAATATCTTCTGCACCAATAGGAATTTCCAAAATATTATAATTCCACATCATATCGCATCATGAGTGCTATCTTCAGGAATAACTATAATTTCTACGAGGGGCACAAGAAAGGCTCACAAAATCGAACATCAATTTTTTCAAATGAAACACCCTGTATTTTATTGCATTTTCATAATCTCCTTGAAGAGCTGAATTCAACGACCTAGCACACTTGGTCTCTAGCGGGAATGATTTCCGAGATTTAGGGTGTGGAAAATCGAGATTTTTCATTTTTGGGAATTTTTTGTGTCAAAACTATTCATTATTGGTCAAAACGGCTTACATGTCCATATTTTAACTTTTGATTTACTATTCACTCGTATTTAATTGAAACAAATACAGGGTGGTGTAGAATTCTCAGGTTCAGTCGGAATTCCACACCACCCTGTATTTGTTTCAATTAAATACTAGTGAATGGTAAATCAAAAGTTGAGATATAGACATGAGAGCCGTTTTGACTAATAATGAATAGTTTTGACACAAAAAATTCCCAAAAATGAAAAATCTCGATTTTCCACACCCTATATCTCGGAAATCATTCCCGCTAGAGCCCAAGTGTGCTAGGTCGTTGAATTCAGCTCTTCAAGGAGATTATGAAAATGCAATAAAATACAGGGTGTTCCATTTGAAAAAATTGATGTTCGATTTTGTGAGGCTTTCTTGTGCCCCTCGTAGAAAATATAGTCATTCCTGAAGTTAGCACTCATAATGCGATATGATGTGGAATTATGATATTTCGAGAATTCCTATTGGTTCAGGAGATATTCAACTGTCCCACTGGTCTAGGGACACCCTGTATATGCACCTATACAGGGTGATTCAAAAGTAAGCGGCATCCTTTCAGAGGCGTATTCCTTGCATGAAAATAAGGCAAAAAGTTCCTATTGATAAGGATCCGAAAATGCTTCCTAAGGGAGCTACGGCCCTTTGAATAGGACACCTCAAAGACGGTTTTTTCTCTATAACTTTAAAATCCTTCACAACAAATTTTTAAAAATTGGTGTACGGCATAAACATTCGATGGTAAATAGGACTCCGTATTCGAAATAATTTCCAAACGAAATCACAGTAACCTGAATATCCGGAGAAGAAGGGATATTTTTACACTTACCCTCTCCCGCATGTGACGCCCCTGAATGAAATTCTGAAATTTCGAATACGGAGTCCTATTTACCATCGAATGTTTATGCCGTACACCAATTTTTAAAAATTTGTTGTGAAGGATTTTAAAGTTATAGAGAAAAAACCGTCTTTGAGGTGTCCTATTCAAAGGGCCGTAGCTCCCTTAGGAAGCATTTTCGGATCCTTATCAATAGGAACTTTTTGCCTTATTTTCAAGCAAGGAATACGCCTCTGAAAGGATGCCGCTTACTTTTGAATCACCCTGTATGTGTGTGAGCAATCGAGATTTCCGAAAAAATCAAATTATATTCTCACCTATTATAATAAAACATGCCGTTCGAATTGAAAAAAATCTAGATCCTGAACATAACTATTTTTTGATTATGAATATTGTCAAATTTTATATGACTCATGGACAGTGTACACCAATGTCTTTGAATTAATAACAATATGCGTATTACAATACAGCGATGTTTCATTAATATAGAACGAAACTGAGAGGTAATATTTTTTGGGTTGAAATGGGAAAAAAGTTCCGAAAACGATTCGTTTGGGTGTTAAAGTTGTTCATGAAAATCGATTTTTCATTAATTTCTAAAAAATGCCTGAACCAATAGTGATAAAATTCACAATGTTTATAATTTTTTTTTAGATAGAACCAACTGAAAATACATATTTTTTGGCTCTCGACTTTTTAGTTAGAAAACAATAAATAAAACCAAACCCATGCTTGTCTCTGAGCCCGTGAATAGAACAGTAATTATGGATAAAAGGTTGCAGTATGAATTAATAGTGAATACGGTTGCTACGTTCATCAACTAAATGACTGATATTTCATAACACTCATAGCAGTTGTTGCAGATGACCCCCTCGAACTTCAAAACATGCATCAATCCTACGTGCTTCAACACCCGGTATCTCGGAAACGAATCGTTTTATGAACTTTGTTTTTTATTTCCCAAAAAATATTACCTTGAAGTTTCGTGCAATATTTATGAAACACCCTGTATACAGGGACCAAATGAAAAACTGAATACAAAACTTGTGGCCACACTCAGTACAGTGAATTGAATAAGTTGGTGGCCAAAAAAAAAAACGAATAGGCTACGATATGTACGTCACGTATAAAAAAGTACTAGAATAAATAACGTTAAATATAAGATACATCGAGAATCGCTGGGGTTATCAACATCACACTTAAACCACAGATGAAATCGAGCCCATATGTAACGGAGATTTCGGCAAGTGATACCTTGCTAATTCAGTCACCGTAATAGCCACTTGCACCAAACCTTTTCCTTCCAAAACATCTGCGGCACAGCACAAGAGATTCTGGAATATTAAAAAAAAAACGGGTGAATATACAGGGTGCTACGAAAGCTCAGGAGTGCCAGTGGAAAAAAAATAAAAAGTCGAAATTTCGACTTAGTAACTCGGAATTTCGTCTTATTAAATCGAATTTTCGACTTACTAAGTCGAAATTTTGTCTTACCAAGTCGAAATTCCGTCTTACTAACTCGATATTTCGTCTTATGTAAATTTGGAAATTTCGTCTAAGCGCACAGCCACAGAATGGTATTCTGTGTACTTAGTATCTCTTCATTATTTAGAGCGAGTTGAAAATGAGTTCGAACTAAGCCGTTTATACCCATTTTCGATACTTGAGGTTTATGTCCTCATTTTCAAAATCTTAACACTCATATATGATAGAGATCTGAAAACAGTGAACCAAAACTGGAATCCGTCGTGGGTACCTAGATCTAGATGTCTTTTGTAATGGCCAAGAACCATCAATAACGCCGGTTTCATAGGTCTATGAGTTCTGTGGTTTCATATGACTTTTCATGAAAACTCGAAATTTCGAGATAACAATCATGTCGACATTTCAAGTTAACTATGTCGAAATTTCGAGATGTAAAGTCGAAATTTCGACTTACTAATACGAAATTTCGACTTACTAGTACGAAATTTCGACTTAGTAAGACGAAATTTCGAGTTGGTAAGACGAAATTTCGACTTCCTAAGTCGAAATTTCGACTTTTTATTTTTTTCCATTGGCACTCCAGAGCTTTCGTAGGGTGCAACTAAATAAGCGTAAAACATTTATGGGGGTGATTCCTCGTCGAAAAAAAGATAGGATATTTCATATAATGAAACTTCATTGAAGGATCCCATGTTGAGATACAGCTCCTTGAAGGGGGTACATGAAATTTCTTTAACAATTTTTTTCACAAATTAAGAACAGAACAACAATACACAATTAGTATTACTTCAAGTTTAAAAATCAACAAACTGACAGCTTGATACCAATTCAATTGTCACTATCGCTGAT